TGTTCTTATGTAAGAACAACACACATGCTATACTAAATATGTTACATTTCCATTTCAATGTTCCTGATTGCATTGATAAATTGAATTTTCATAGATTTTGATTTATTTTCATTTTGATTTAATTATTTTGTGTGAATTGAGCTGCGTTGTTGACCATACCGTACATTTCGTAAGTATAGTATATTTTTTTATTTGTTCATAATTTCATTTAATTATTTAACAGTTTTTCTTATATTTCAGTGATTGGAACATCAGATCACTCGATGTTCCCATTTGGGAAGGCATCGGACGAGGGAGTGGGGAATGGTGGGGAGGACGAGGGGACGGAAGTGAGAGATGGTGGGGAGGACGAGGGGACAAAGGAGGGGGTAATAATGGGGAAGGACGAGGGGACGGGGGAGTTTGGGATGGTGGGGACGACTGGATGGGGGAATGGAGAATAGTGGGGAGGACAAAGGGACAGGGGGGGGGGGGGAGTGGGGCATATATATATATATAATCTGTGTGTGTGACCAAATATTATGTCGTGTGAGAATGGTCTGCTCACCAGACTACTGACAAAATGCGTTTCCATCATTTAGCGTATTTCGAGCGTCAGAGCGGCGAAGCTGGTGTGTTCGTGCTGTGGGAACATCTATCTAATAGCCGTAAACTGCGTCCCTAATGCAATTGCCTGCAGAATTATGACATGTCTTGCGAAGGAAACATTTCCAGCAATTTTCCACTGATAATATGGTAACTGATGAGTTGCATCACCAGTGCTTTCTGTCTATGCTCATGACAAGACGGTTTATTTGGGGCTTCCGTCAGACAGATGCAACTGGAAATTGGAAATAACATTTGGGAATGTTAATGAGGCTTTAGAAAGCAACCTAATTGGTGGCTGTGTTATTGAGGCATCACATAAACACATATGAACATAAGTACATAAGAACAAAGGTAATTGTAGAAGGCCTATTGTCCCATATACGAGGCAGCTCCTATTTATAACCACCCAATCTCATTCATATATATATAATGTCTAATCTCCGCTTGAAACAAATCAAGAGATCCTACTTCTATTATGTTATGCAGTTATTGGTTCTACAAATAAACATTCCTGTTACCGAACCAGTATTTACCCTTGTCTTTCCTAAATCTAAGTTTATCCAATTTATACCCATTGTTTCATGCTCTGTCTTGTGTTGATATTTTTAATACCCTATTAATATCCCCCTTCGTTAAGCCCATTCATTCACTTAAACACCTCTATTAAACACCACCCCCTAGTTCTTCGCCTTTCTATAGAATGTAATTTAAGCTTTGTCACTCTTTCTTTATACGACATGTTTCTAATTTGTCATCCTACGCTGGATGCGTTCCAGTACATCTATATAGAATGTATATAAAAACCTGGCCGGATGCGAATGGAACGTTGTGTGAACATTTCATAGCAATCGGTGAAGAACTTTCGGAGATTAGCGATTTTAAACAAACGAACATTTACATTTTTACTTATATAGATTGTCGTAGAGACAGGGAGAGCAACAAGAGACAGGGAGAGCAACAAGAGAAAGGGAGAGCAACAAGAGAAAGGGAGAGCAGCAAGAGAAAGGGAGAGCAGCAAGAGACAGGGAGAGCAACAAGAGACAGGGAGAGCAACAAGAGAAAGGGAGAGCAGCAAGAGACAGGGAGAGCAACAAGAGACAGGGAGAGCAGCAAGAGACAGGGAGAGCAACAAGAGACAGGGAGAGCAACAAGAGAAAGGGAGAGCAGCAAGAGACAGGGAGAGCAGCAAGAGACAGGGAGAGCAACAAGAGACAGGGAGAGCAGAAAGAGACAGGGAGAGCAACAAGAGACAGGGAGAGCAACAAGAGACAGGGAGAGCAACAAGAGACAGGGAGAGCAGCAAGAGACAGGGAGAGCAACAAGAGACAGGGAGAGCAACAAGAGAAAGGGAGAGCAACAAGAGAAAGGGAGAGCAGCAAGAGACAGGGAGAGCAACAAGAGACAGGGAGAGCAACAAGAGACAGGGAGAGCAACAAGAGAAAGGGAGAGCAACAAGAGAAAGGGAGAGCAGCAAGAGAAAGGGAGAGCAGCAAGAGACAGGGAGAGCAACAAGAGAAATGGAGAGCAGCAAGAGACAGGGAGAGCAACAAGAGACAGGGAGAGCAACAAGAGACAGGGAGAGCAACAAGAGACAGGGAGAGCAACAAGAGACAGGCATATCAACAAGAGACAGGGAGAGCAACAAGACAGGCATATCAACAAGAGACAGGCATATCAACAAGAGACAGGGAGAGCAACAAGAGACAGGCATATCAACAAGAGACAGGGAGAGCAACAAGAGACAGGCATATCAACAAGAGACAGGGAGAGCAACAAGAGACAGGCATATCAACAAGAGACAGGGAGAGCAACAAGAGACAAGGAGAGCAACAAGAGACAGGAAGAGCAACAAGAGACAAGGAGAGCAACAAGAGACAGGGAGAGCAACAAGAGACAGGAAGAGCAACAAGAGACAAGGAGAGCAACAAGAGACATTGAGATCAATATGAGACAGGAAGAGCAACAAGAGACAAGGAGAGCAACAAGAGACAATGAGCATCATATACCTATTAACAACCTGCATGAAAAAATGAGCAAAAACTTCAGGTTAAAAAAAAAAAAAAGTTGAATAAGTTACAAGAGCTTAAGACCGTGAATATAAAAAGAAGAGAAAAATGTCAAGAGATTAAGGATTTCGCGGCAAAGTCGCTAAACGTCCTGTAGATAGGAGGACTTTTCGACAAGAATTATTTTAATAAAGAATTTGGCACTTGTGATCAATAAGAGACACGATTAATAGCCAGGTAAGGGGGTTATCTTGAGGTTATCTTGAGATGATTTCGGGGCTTTTTAGTGTCCCCGCGGCCCGGTCCTCGACCAGGCCTCCACCCCCAGGAAGCAGCCCGTGACAGCTGACTAACACCCAGGTACCTATTTTACTGCTAGGTAACAGGGGCATAGGGGTGAAAGAAACTCTGCCCATTGTTTCTCGCCTGCGCCTGGGATCGAACCCAGGACCACAGGATCACAAGTCCAGCGTGCTGTCCGCTCGGCCGACCGGCTCCCTACCGGGATACATATACAAAAAATCTCACATCAGGAGAAAACAACAGTGAAGGAACAGGTAATGAAACTGAGGATTTTGGCAGTGAAATTGACTAAAAACGACAAGGAAGTGTGTGTGTGTGTGTGTGTGTGTGTGTGTGTGTGTGTGTGTGTGTGTGTGTGTGTGTGTGTGAGGAACTCAATAAAAACTTCCAGGTCTTCACATTAGAGTGAGGAGAAGTTCCAGAGATAAGAGAAGGAAGAGTTATCCAGGCACCACTAGAGGAGTTTGGGATTACCAGTGGTGATGTTAGGAAGCTTTTGCAAGAGTTTGATATGACAAAGGCTATAAGCCCGGATGGAATATCACCATGGATACTAAAGGAAGGAGCAGAAGCACTGTGCCTGCCACTCTCCTATTTCTGTTTATGAACTGCCAAACATTTGAAAGACGGCAAATGTAGTCCCGATATACAAGAAGGGGGATAGACAGGAGGTACTGAACTACAGGCCAGTGTCCCTAACTTGCATACCATGCAAGTTGATGGAGAAGATTGTGCGAAAAAAGCTAGTGGAACATCTGGAGCGAAGGAACTTTGTGACACAACACCAACATGGTTTCAGGGATGGCAAGTCATGCCTCACAGGATTAATTGAATTCTACGATCAGGCAACGAGAATCAGTCAAGAATGAGAGGGGGGTGGGGCAGACTGCATATTTTTGGATTGCCGTGCAGTGAAGAGGCACACCTTAATACAACTAACTACACAGGACATGCCAGATTATGTTTTCTAAGGATGAATCACATGAGCTTAACAGCGCTCAGGGACGAGCCAGATGAACACAACAGCGTGACAGACAAACAGGGACACTGGGGGGGGTGAAGGTCAGAGAAGCATCTGCTAACGGGCAAATAAATTATATTTGTGAAGCTCAGAAGGATTGACATAGAGTGAGAAAGACGTAGCAATCAAGGATAAGGAGCACCCCCCAAGCTCCTTATCGGGGGGAAGCATAGATTATATGGCGAGGTGTTGAACTAAAATTTCTAGGGAGCGTTCATCTCAAGCTAAAGCTTCCATGAAATGTCCAAGCTGGAGTCTGACACACACACACCCACATGCAGAGAACACGCCACCATGAAGGACTGAGCGAGAGACTAAACACAACTCGGAAACTTCAGTCGAGGAGATCAAGAAACAATTTATAATTAAGAATCTTAATACATCAAAGGCTGCAGGATATTAGAACGGGAAAAAATTAACACCATAGCACCTGTGCTGTGTCTAGCATTTACATGTCAATGACTTAGCTGAGGAAACAGTGGTTGTAAATGACATAGTTTAAGGTTAATGCAAACGTAATGAGAGACGTAAACACAGATAATTGCAGAATACTCTTGCAGAAAACCATCAGAGGACTGGACTGAAAATGGCTGTATAAATAGGAAAGCAAATGTTCATCATGAAATGAGAACAAGAGAACATGTTCATTATGAACAGCAGTCGATCAAGAGGAAATGCTCAGACTGACCAGAGGCAGCACGAGAGGAAACAAATGAAATAAACAGGAATAGGAAAAAAGGAAATGTTCAGCATAAACAGAGGGGAAAAAACAAGAGAAACTGGAAGAAAACCCAGTGAACAACAGCGTCAGCAAGCCCCCTCACCAACAAGAGAGAGAGAGAGAGAGAGAGAGAGAGAGAGAGAGAGAGAGAGACAGAGACAGAGACAGAGACAGAGAGAGAGAGAGAGAGAGAGAGAAAGAGAGAGCAGCTAACACCTGAAAGAAACAAGAGGGAAAGACTGTTTTAACTGCTAACCTCCCACACAATCACCACACCAAAGCTCACACGACACTTCCCCCAAACACACACACACACACACACGAGTAGACAGAGATGAGAGCAGCCCGCGTAGAGACTCACAGGCATGAATGATGTGGTAGATGCAGGGCTTAAGCTGCCTGCCGACGTCGTTGTTGGCCCAGCAGAGGAGGGAGCCGTAGTCGAGGTGGGTCACGGGGGTGTAGGAGGCCTGGCTCTTCCCGTTCCCAACCACCCAGAACTTGCTCGACGGAATGTCTACCAACTCTGTCGAGCTGTTGAACGCCCACCTGCAGGGAGAGGAGAGAACGCCAGCCGTTACTGAGTGCTTGAGGCAAGCAGTCGCCCAGGAATCTGCTATATATATATATATATATATATATATATATATATATATATATATATATATATATATATATATATATATATATATATATATATATATATATATATATATATATATATATATATATATATATATATATATATATATATATATATATATATATATATATATATATATATATATATATATATATATATATATATATATATATTATAATAAGTTATTGACCATAAGAAAGGTCCTGTTCCAACGAGGGTGGACACCCTCCTATGTTGATATAAGTTATTAACAAAACTATGACCAAACTGAATACGGTTCTCACAGTAGCTACTTACACCGTATTTATATTATCTACCTTATTTTGGTGTAAATTCTCTCTGACAACCAAAAAAAAAATTCACTACAAAGTTTTATGTTACTCACTCTAATAATTCATAACCAAAATAGCCCAACATGAGTATCCTTTAACTCATTATCAGAGGAGACAAATACTACACCACAGGAGATATACCATCATTATATAGCCTATTTCCTTGACATTCATCATACTGAGACACGTTGGTAATCCTGATCCTGGTCTGAGACGTCTGATAATACTATTAAGATCATGCCGGGCTCACAGCTGCCTGTCTCAAGGTCGCCTCAGGTGAGGTAACTTGATTACTTGGCTGATTGTCTTATCATCTTCAACATGAATTAAATGAAGACTCCTGTAGCAGTCATGTGGCTCCTGTAGCAGTCACATGGTTCCTGTAGCAGTCATGTGGCTCCTGTAGCAGTCATGGGAGCCAGTCGGCCGAGCGGACAACACGCTGGGCTTGTGATCCTGTGGTCCTGGGTTCGATCCCAGGCGCCGGCGAGAAACAATGGGCAGAGTTTCTTTCACCCTATGTCCCTGTTACCTAGCAGTAAAATAGGTACCTGGGTGTTAGTCAGCTGTCACGGGCTGTTCCTGGGGGTGGAGGCCTGGTCGAGGACCGGGCCGCGGAGACACTAAAAAGCCCCGAAATCATCTCAAGATAACCTCAAGATAGTCATATGGTTCCTGTAACAGTCATATGGCTCCTGTAGCAGTCATATATATATATATATATATATATATATATATATATATATATATATATATATATATATATATATATATATATATATATATATATATATATATAAAACTGGTGATTTCGTTGATGACAACGGCTTTGATCAGCCGAAATGTTCATTTTCCTTTCCAATTTCTCTGCGGATTTTCCGCATATATATATATATATATATATATATATATATATATATATATATATATATATATATATATATATATATATATATATATATATATATATTTGTGTATGTTTGTCTATGAACGTTTCACGCTTGATATACTCAGATCAAACATGTCCTCACAATCTGAGGTAAGAAAGAAGAGAATAATAAGAAAAGAAACAACAAGGGAAGGAAGAGGAACATAGAGAAAGAGAGGCAACATAGAGAAAGAGAGGCAACATAGAGAAAGAGAGGCAACATAGAGGAAGAGAGGCAACATAGAGGAAGAGAGGCAACATAGACGCAACACTCCCATCCTCCAGACACACTCAAACACCCTCCCCCCCCACCTATACATTGTCCTCCCCCCATTAACGCGAGAAAACTCGATCCCAGAAATCCTGGAAAATAGGGCGTAAGATCCTGTGAGTGAGACGAGAGAGAAGGGCTCAATTACCTGAAGGAGGTGGGGTCCGGATGGGCCTCGACACTGCAGGTGATGTTGAGTTCCTCGAGCTTGCCTCCTCCGTAGACGAACTTCTGGCCTGGTCGACACATAGGGGCGACTGTAAGGGGGAGAGATATAACAGGCTGTCATTACTGCAATGATCTTGGTTGACTGCATTACTGCAATGATCTTAGCTTGGATCATTGCATTACTGCAAATGATCTTAGCTTGGATCATTGCATTACTGCAAATGATCTTAGCTTGGATAATTGCATTACTGCAATGATCTAAGCTTGGATAATTGCATTACTGCAATGATCTAAGCTTGGATCATTGTATTACTGCAATGATCTTAGCTTGGATCATTGCATTACTGCAAATGATCTTAGCTTGGATCATTGCATTACTGCAAATGATCTTAGCTTGGATCATTGCATTACTGCAATGATCTTAGCTTGGATAATTGCATTACTGCAATGATCTAAGCTTGGATCATTGTATTACTGCAATGATCTTAGCTTGGATCATTGCATTACTGCAAATGATCTTAGCTTGGATCATTGCATTACTGCAAATGATCTTAGCTTGGATCATTGCATTACTGCAAATGATCTTAGCTTGGATAATTGCATTACTGCAATGATCTAAGCTTGGATCATTGCATTACTGCAATGATCTAAGCTTGGATCATTGCATTACTGCAATGATCTAAGCTTGGATCATTGCATTACTGCAATGATCTTAGCTTGGATCATTGCATTACTGCAATGATCTTGGTGTAGTGTTTTGCTACAATAACCTTGCAATAACATTGGGACTACCCTCTTTGGTCTGAGAGGAACTTTGGGTCGATCTTTCCTTACTACTGCTTTTAATTCAAACAAAAGGCTTTCTAAAATAAATAAATAAATAAATAAATATTATTTAAAATCTTAAATTTAAAATCTTAAATTTAAATCTTAATTTAAAATATATATAAGCAATACATTAGCAAACCTACATTTAAAAATATGTGGCGAACAGAGAGAGTTTCTATGACAATATTCCAGAAATTATTTTAGTTTACAAAATGATGAGAAATATTTTATCGTGTAATCCGACCTACTACTTAAGATAACCTCAAGATAACCGCTAAAACCACACCGACGCTGGGGCAGACTTGTCATGGAAACGTCTTCTCAATTTTACATTTAAAATACAACCAAACAAATATAATTTGATTTAAAGGGCTTAGCATAAACGAAGGTTGCCATAGCAACCTCTCGAGGAACTCTAAGAAAAAAATCTCATTTAATTTACCTTCAATATAACTAAATTACATAAGTTGTTTTAATTTTTAAGAACGAGCTGGAATAGGAACAACGAAACAATAATAATAATACTACAATCACGGTTGGAAAAGCACAGTATGCAAATGGAGTGGTTGTCATAGCAACATCTCCGAGAGAGAGAGAGAGAGACTCACACTTGACGCTGAGTTGAACGGCGTTCGAGGATCCCAACCCGTGGAGGTTGGTAGCCGAGCAGGTGTACTGCCCCGAGGAGCGACGGGTCACCCGCTGTAACACCAAACTCTGGTTGCTCTGGATCACCCCAGCAGACACGTTGTGGCTCAGCTCCTCCCCCTGCAGGAGCAAGATGTCCCCCCTGCATCACCCACCTCTTCTCCCAGAAACATATAAAGGACTGCACACTGAAGAATATATATGAATTGGGATCGAACTTGCATCTGTGGACTTTACCCCCCCCAGACACACCCACGACCCTTTGAACCACCCTGATGGCCTGAAATGATCTCAGCTACTTCTACCGCACTGACTCCAAGTTTGTAAGGCACCAACCACCCTTTTGTGCAGGATAATAAATGGGTATTCACGAAGACTCGAACCCCAGTCACGTAGGCACAATATTTAATTAAGGTAAATTAACTCTGATTTCAATTCAAGTAAGCACACTTCCATCCTTGTTCTGCCATCCCAGCATCCACCCCTGCCAGGGTTATCTTGGTGGTCTCCAGCATCCACCCCTGCCAGGGTTATCTTGGTGGTCTCCAGCATCCACCCCTGCCAGGGTTATCTTGGTGGTCTCCAGCATCCACCCCTGCCAGGGTTATCTTGGTGGTCTCCAGCATCCACCCCTGCTAGGGTTATCTTGGTGGTCTCCAGCATCCACCCCTGCTAGGGTTATCTTGGTGGTCTCCAGCATCCACCCCTGCTAGGGTTATCTTGGTGGTCTCCAGCATCCACCCCTGCTAGGGTTATCTTGGTGGTCTCCAGCATCCAACTCTGCTAGGGTTATCTTGGTGGTCTCCAGCATCCACCCCTGCTAGGGTTATCTTGGTGGTCTCCAGCATCCACCCCTGCTAGGGTTATCTTGGTGGTCTCCAGCATCCACCCCTGCCAGGGTTATCTTGGTGGTCTCCAGCATCCACCCCTGCCAGGGTTATCTTAGTGGCCTCCAACATCCACCCCTGCCAGGGTTATCATGGTGGAGTCCAGCATCCACCCCTGCTAGGGTTATCTTAGTGGCCTTCAACATCCACCCCTGCCAGGGTTATCATGGTGGAGTCCAGCATCCACCCCTGCTAGAGTTATCTTAGTGGCCTCCAACATCCACCCCTGCCAGGGTTATCTTAGTGGCCTCCAACATCCACCCCTGCCAGGGTTATCTTGGTGGCCTCCAGCATCCACCCCTGCCAGGGTTATCTTAGTGGCTTCCAACATCCACCCCTGCCAGGGTTATCATGGTGGAGTCCAGCATCCACCCCTGCTAGGGTTATCTTGGTGGTCTCCAGCATCCACCCCTGCCAGGGTTATCTTGGTGGTCTCCAGCATCCACCCCTGCCAGGGTTATCTTGGTGGCCTCCAGCATCCACCCCTGCCAGGGTTATCTTGGTGGTCTCCAGCATCCACCCCTGCTAGGGTTATCTTGGTGGTCTCCAGCATCCACCCCTGCTAGGGTTATCTTGGTGGCCTCCAGCATCCACCCCTGTCAGGGTTATCTTAGAGGCCTCCAACATCCACCCCTGCCAGGGTTATCATGGTGGAGTCCAGCATCCACCCCTGCTAGGGTTATCTTGGTGGTCTCCAGCATCCACCCCTGCCAGGGTTATCATGGTGGCCTCCAGCATCCACCCCTGCCAGGGTTATCTTGGTGGTCTCCAGCATCCACCCCTGCCAGGGTAATCATGGTGGCCTCCAGCATCCACCCCTGCCAGGGTTATCTTGGTGGAGTCCAGCATCCACCCCTGCCAGGGTTATCATGGTGGCCTCCAGCATCCACCCCTGCCAGGGTTATCTTGGTGGAGTCCAGCATCCACTCCTGCCAGGGTTATCTTGGTGGCCTCCAACATCCACCCCTGCCAGGGTTATCTTGGTGGCCTCCAGCATCCACCCCTGCCAGGGTTATCTTAGTGGCCTCCAACATCCACTCCTGCCAGGGTTATCATGGTGGCCTCCAACATCCACTCCTGCTAGGGTTATCATGGTGGCCTCCAGCATCCACCCCTGCCAGGGTTATCTTGGTGGAGTCCAGCATCCACCCCTGCCAGGGTTATCTTGGTGGAGTCCAGCATCCACTCCTGCCAGGGTTATCTTGGTGGAGTCCAGCATCCACTCCTGCCAGGGTTATCATGGTGGAGTCCAGCATCCACTCCTGCCAGGGTTATCTTAGTGGCCTCCAACATCCACTCCTGCTAGGGTTATCATGGTGGCCTCCGGCATCCACCCCTGCCAGGGTTATCTTGGTGGAGTCCAGCATCCACCCCTGCCAGGGTTATCTTGGTGGAGTCCAGCATCCACTCCTGCCAGGGTTATCTTGGTGGAGTCCAGCATCCACTCCTGCCAGGGTTATCATGGTGGAGTCCAGCATCCACTCCTGCCAAGGTTATCATGGTGGAGTCCAGCATCCACCCCTGCCAGGGTTATCATGGTGGAGTCCAGCATCCACCCCTGCCAGGGTTATCATGGTGGAGTCCAGCATCCACCCCTACCAGGGTTATCTTGGTGGAGTCCAGCATCCACCCCTGCCAGGGTTATCATGGTGGAGTCCAGCATCCACCCCTGCCAGGGTTATCTTGGTGGAGTCCAGCATCCACCCCTGCCAGGGTTATCTTGGTGGAGTCCAGCATCCACCCCTGCCAGGGTTATCATGGTGGAGTCCAGCATCCACCCCTACCAGGGTTATCTTGGTGGAGTCCAGCATCCACCCCTGCCAGGGTTATCTTGGTGGAGTCCAGCATCCACCCCTGCCAGGGTTATCATGGTGGAGTCCAGCATCCACCCCTGCCAGGGTTATCATGGTGGAGTCCAGCATCCACCCCTGCCAGGGTTATCTTGGTGGAGTCCAGCATCCACTCCTGTCAGGGTTATCTTGGTGGAGTCCAGCATCCACTCCTGCCAGGGTTATCATGGTGGCCTCCAGCATCCACCCCTGCCAGGGTTATCTTGGTGGCCTCCAGCATCCACCCCTGCCAGGGTTATCTTGGTGGCCTTCAGCATCCATCCTGGTGTTCTGTATATTCACTTCTCATTCATCTTGCTGAGTGATTCACACCTAAGCTTTCTCCTCGTTTACATTCATCTGAATTAATGTGAGTAAACAAATATGGAGTTGGAACACACTCTGGTCTTGTTCACTTCGTCGACAGACCACTGTATGATTCACTTACTCACTTGTCTAAACCTCGTCCCACACCACTGACTTACTCATCTACCTTATTCCCATTCCAGACCACTTAATCACTCACCCACCTGTCTCAACCCATCCTCACACCACTCACTCACCCACCTCTCTTCACGTACACATCTATTATGAATACAAAATCTCCACTGATAAATCCCTCATTGGACAAAATCACAAGCATTATACAATTCTACAAACCGATCAAACATGCATCTGCTTCACATCTGTCACAGGTAATGTTTACCTCCACTGATTAATGCACCTGTGATACGTCTGCCACACTAAGCTTTAAAGTCCATTCATAAGTAATACTCTACCTCCCACCTCAAGTTCTCCCAGGCATCTCCCAGGGTGAGACATACAATATATATTATGATCTCTGGATATTCCTCCACCTTGAGGACCTACTGGGGGGGGGGGGATTGTACTATCCCTTCCCCCAGAAGGTATACTCACGTTATGGAACCACTGGACCTTGAAGACTCGAGGATTAGCCTTGATACCACACTCGAAGTACACATCGTCTCCTTCCTTGATGTCCTCCATGTCCAAGTTCAATCCCGCGGCCAGAGAGAGTCGGGGCGTGTCTGTGGACACGGCAGATGAGAGAGATGTACTGGAGGCTGGCCACGGCAGATAAGAGTTAATCAAGATGCCAGTTACCTCATTAGTCTTGAACTAAGGCTAGCTATCTATCTCCCACAGCACATCCCAGCACATCCCAGCACATCCCTAGCCCTCTCTAGCCCCCTCCCAGCTCATCTCAGCACCTCTCAGCATCTCCAGCAACAGCCTCCAGTCATGGGCCAGAAGATGGCGGATAATTCCTCAGTGTTTTCCCACACTCAGACTTCTTTTGTGAGAAACAAGATAATTAAAGGAAATGGTTTTATGCGGCGAAGTGAAAACTGACGCGGGGGCATTCTTCATGGGGGTCGGTATTAATTTCCTCCTGCTAGTTGAGAGAGTAGGGATGTGCTTGTTGCTGCTGCAGGTGTGTAGTGTGTGTGGAGTGTGCTGGTGTGGTGTGTGTGGAGAGTTCTGGTGTAATTGGGGGGGGGGGAGAGTGTAGGTGTGGTGTGGAGGAGAGTGCTGGTGCGGGGGAGAGTGCTGCAGGTGTGGTATGTGTGGAGAGTGCTGCAGGTGTGGGAGATGCTATCTGTCATCTCATGTGACCTCTGCGACACAGATCCACGTTAGTGGTTACCAGCATCCTCAAATATGCAAGACGAAACATTATCTACCACCAACTGCCCTGTCCGCCTCCAGCTCAAGTAGCTCCTTCTGCACTATTACCATCACGTTTGTTGACTCCAAGAGCTCTCTCTTTCGTCTCTTTTAGTGTCCAGTTAAGCCACGTTCAAAACTTTATTTCAGCGTACCAACCTTATTCCGAGTTGTGTGTATGTGTGTGTGTGTGTGTGTGTGTGTGTGTGTGTGTGTGTGTGTGTGTGTGTGTGTGTGTGTGTGTGTGTGTGTGTGTGTGTGTGTGTGTGTGTGTGTGAGCGTGTGTGTGTGTGTGTGTGTGTGTGTGAGCGTGTGTGTGTGTGTGTGTGTGTGTGTGTGTGTGTGTGTGTGTGTGTGTGTGTGTGTGTGTGAGCGTGTGTGAGTGAGTGAATAAAAACCCATACACCTTCCACGCGGCTTGACCAACCACTGCCGCCTGAGTACTCACAGTGGACGTTGAGTTTCCTGGTGTCTTCCATCACCGCCGCTGGAACCATGGGATTCTTGGCCCTGCAGGAGACATAGGCGTCGTGGTCCGCCAGCGAGGGCGTCAGGTAGAGCGTGGAGCGACTCACGTTTCCCTCGTGGAAGATCTACACAGGGAGAAAAGCGTGATACGAGACGCCATTAAAAAAGGTCTTGTGACCCTGCAAAGTGGGCCATGACTGATGACCATCTTAAAGGAAGAAGAAGAAGGCAATACATAGGGGAGGTTGGAGGCGGGGGGAAGGAAGGAACTATCAGGGGGAAAGCGCCAAGCCATTACGACTATATAGCACTAAGAAGGGGGTCAGGATAAGGATTTGTGATAGGACGGGGGGGGGGGGGAAAGGAATGGTGCCAAAACCACTTGGACGGTCGGGGATTGTACGCCGACCTGCATGAAGCGCGACTGTTACTGTTGCCATGGGCACTCTGCCAGTGGCAACCCCGACACCAATTGATATACAGGCCCCTTAACTTAATTAACCCATAATAAAAAAAATTATAATAATCCTAAAACAAAACACAGTGTAGGCTTAACAGTCAAATCCAGTTATTGAATTTTTATCCATGATTTTTTGCTTTTAATATTTCAAAACTGAAACTGCAGTAATTAGATGTATAATTCCAAAAACATTCAATTCAGTTTTTAATGATAGAACAGGTCGGCTTACTTTCATCCAAATGATAATGCAAATTCTTCTGCAGAATTAACATACAATAATGATTTCTTTTTTTTTTAATATAATGATTTCTTTTTTTTTAATATACTTTTGCATAAAAATATTTGTGTACCAATTAATTTTAAGCAAATTAATTGGCAATATGTCTTTTTTATAACGAAGATTACAGAGTAAATAAGAAACTTTTTTTAATTAAAAAAAAGCAAGTCTTACATCAGGAAGTATGGTAGATGTCTCAGTAAGGAAAGTAGATGTCTCAATAAACAAGGTAGATATCTGTAAACTAGGTAGATGAGTCAGTAAGGAAAGTAGATGTCTAACAGATGAAGGATTAAAGATATATAATAGCTGGAAGAGGGTAAAGATATCTAACAAATGAAACCGAAAGAAGATATCTAACTAAGGGGAGAAGACAAGATAGTTAATAAACGGAATGGATAAAAGATATCCAATACATGGGACGGTAAAGGATATCTAATAGCGGGGGTAGGAGACAAGATATCTAATATATGGAAGGATAAAATATATCTAATAGATAAGGGGTGGGGGGGGGGATGAATATACAACTTGATCAATTCTCTCCCTTCTGACTAACCCATTTTTTTCCTCCACCAGGTAAGCTGGTTGATTAATTAATAGTGCCAAGGTGTATTTTTGATGGATTAAAACATAATGAACATATACTAGATTTGTTATATTTGCTATTCGCGAATTTGTACATTAGCAAGGGACATTGGGAGATGTTAGGCAAAGGTGGGTGTATATATATATATATATATATATATATATATATATATATATATATATATATATATATATATATATATATATATATATATATATATAAAGTTTGTGAGGGTACCACCTCTGATGCCAATGTGGGGACCCATAGCCTCGGAGAAGAAAAAAAGTATTCAGAGGAGACCTTGTGGTTTCTCACTGAACACTAATATTATCTTCTCCTACCACCCCCATTCTTTTGTATGTACACATACATATATATATATATATATATATATATATATATATATATATATATATATATATATATATATATATATAAACATTCCAATACATACACAACACATATCAGCCAAAATATATACAAGGAGACCTATCAATCAACTTTTGTCTCACCTGACTCTTGGTATCCGTCATCAGCATGCCATCCTTCCACCAGGTGATGGTGGCGGTGGGTCTCGAACCCGAGGACTCGCAGACGATGGCGTATCGCTCCCCCTCCGCCAGGCTCTCCACCGTCCCCAGGATTCGCACGTCGAGCGGCGGAACTGCGGACAGGCGGAGAGGACATGTGATCCGGAAGGTAAGTGAGAGTTGGTAGATAAAACTACAAAGTTAAAATTTTGTTAAATGAATTTGTGGGTGTTTGCGCGTGTGTGTGTACTCACCTATCTGTACTCACCTATTTGTGCTTGCGGGGGTTGAGCTTTGGCTCTTTGGTCCCGCCTCTCTACTGTCAATCAACTGGTGTACAGGTTCCTGAGCCTACTGGGCTCTATCATATCTACATTTGAAACTGTGTATGGAGTCAGCCTCCACCACATCACTGCCTAATGCATTCCATCTGTTAACTGAAAAAGTTCTTTCTAACGTCCCTGTGGCTCATTTGGGTACTCAGTTTCCACCTGTGTCCCCTTGTTCGTGTACCGCCAGCGTTGAATAGTTTATCCTTGTTTACCCTGTCAATACCCCTGAGGATTTTGTAGGTAGTGATCTTGTCTCCCCTTACTCTTCTGTCTTCCAGTGTCGTAAGGTGCATTTCCTGCAGCCTTTCCTCGTAACTCATGCTTCTTAGTTCCGGGACTAGTCTAGTGGCATACCTCTGAACCTTTTCCAGCTGTGTGTGTGTGTGTGTGTGTGTGTGTGTGTGTGTGTGTGTGTGTGTGTGTGTGTGTGTGTGTGTGTGTGTGTGTGTGTGTGTGTGTGTGTACACGTGCCTTCCTGTGTGAACAAACATGACTGTGTACATACACCATGATTTCTATATACTCACCTAGCTGTACTTTGAGGGGTTGAGCATCAGCTCTTGGGCCACGTCTTACCTATCATTAGTAGTTTAATCCAATGACTATATATTTCCTAGCTGTTCTCACCGGGACTCTAATATAGGTCCATTACATTTGTAATCCAAACGAAGGGTAACATATTTGTACCCGAGGGCGCGGTACTCCCTCTGTACCACAGGTACTCTAGGACCCACCACGAAACGGTACTTCCTCTGTCCCCTCAAGAACAAGGTACTCTGTACCTCCCAGTTCACCCTAAAGTGATCTTACGCCTTGGGTTCTCTCTAATTTAAAGTTTAACATTTATCTCACAAGAGGAAAGTATAGGACAGGAAACTCAGGGAGCACCGCTCCTGTGCCAAGTAAGTCCACTACGGGCTCACCATAGCCCGTGCTACTTGCCCCGCTCCTGTGCCGGGTAAGTTACGGGCTCACCATAGCCCGTGCTACTTGGAACTTGTTCCGAGTAGATGAATCTATAACAACAACAACAACAGGAAACGTCTGAGGTTCTTGAGGACCCTTGTGTCTAATAGCCCAACCACTTGGGCTGGACGGTAAAACGACGATCTCCCTCCTTGCAGGTCGGTGTTCAATCCCCGACCGTCCATAAGTGACTGGGCACCATTCTTTCCGTTTCCATCCTAAATCCTTATCCTCTTATCCCTTCCAAGTGCTGTATAGGCGTAATGGCTTGGTGCTTTCTCCTGATACTTAATTACCCAGCGTCTAACATACTACCATAACTAATTTCAGAGTATACGGGATTATCTCCCATAGTTACCCCCTGGAGTGAGCATACACAACATCCCGTTTTCTGTTGTTAGCATTTTAGGTTCCCCACTAAATAATTCATTTTGAGAATCTCAACAGCTTTATAATAATTAAAAGGGGGAAAAAAATGACTAATATTTTCTTCATACAAATGAATAAAAATGTATAATTTTGGTTTAGAGTAAAAATTGTATTCTAAGAATAATATCAGTCTGAATCAACACCTAAAGCATACTTGTTGGTTGGTCAGTATAAGGTGTTGTGGGGGGCCTAATAACCCTTCCTGGGGCTGATAAACCTAAGTACCAAACACACACCGAAACTACGACGTTGGAATTCGAACAAGTTTTGACACTTCCTAACCAGTTATAACAACCAATATAGCAAGTTGTAACAACGTTCTAATACGTCATCAACACGTTAAGCCAAGATGTAACAACTTTATTAAAAGTTGTAACAAGCGGAAAATAGAGACAGTTTCGGTTTGTGTTTCCAGGGATTAAGTACCAAACTATCTTGCGACCGTCCAAGAGAACCCACAATTTATAAATTCAAATAACCAGCCAATATACCAAGATAACATATGTCTCAGTTCTTTCACTAAGTCTGGATCACGTTGCGTCACCTCCACCAGCTTCCACTCACACTCCAGAATCCGGACCAATCCGAAAACGCACGCTGCTGGATGTGAAGGAGCGGGCAGAAGACACGTGGCTCGTTAACGGCCATAAAAGCGATACACAACAAAAGATTAATCTGCAGGGTTAGTTATTAAACAATTGTGTATGCCAGAGTACCCCGTGAATAGTGTGGGCATCGCGCTTATGTTGGAATTACGGCAAAGGCTTTCATTCAATGTAAAGGAGAAAAACCGTGCAATGGGAGCTTCGTTGCATCAAAAACGTTGCTCCACTGTATACTCGGCCGCTATTGGGAAACATTTATGTGGGTTAAATCCCGGTTTAATTGCACAAGACTAATGACCTGTAACCAGGGGTCCGGCTGGAGGCTTGGAGTCTATGCTTAAACTTTGCGATGTTTGATCCTATATAAACTCTTTGTTTTTGTATGTGCAGGCATGGGTATTAGAAATGTGTATGGGTGTGTGTATGCGAGATTATGAGTGTGTCTGTGTATGTGTGGATGAGAGAGTGTTTGTATATGTATATGAGTGTGTATGTGTTTGGACGATTCCTCCTGTCTCCTCACTTGAGAATGAACCATATAGATTCGAAACGTTGTGTAAATTATAATAAGTGTAATACACTCTACAGTTAATTTGTATTCTTTTAGTCAACCTGGAATATGAGATTCGGAGAAATCCACTTCTAATTAAACCAAGATAGAAGAGTACTAGTCAGAGGGATAAAAGTCCTATACAAGAAAATAATAAACACGGAATATATATATATATATATATATATATATATATATATATATATATATATATATATATATATATATATATATATATATAGGCAGCTCAAATCCATATAAGAGCCTCCAAATATATTTCTGAATCTCCATATAAGCCTTAAAACATGTCCAAACTTAAGTAATCCAGCTTAAAACCTGTCTCCAAACCCTAATAATATCCCTTCAAACTCCTCAAAAACTTGAACTAACTTCCCCAAAATACACACCCACTTTAAACCAAACCCCAAAAACTACCTAAAAACCCCTTCAAAACTTCCCCTGAATCCTCAAAAAACTCATCAAAACTCATCTCAACCGGACTCACAACTCATGTCGAGAGTGACGGTGGCGGCGACGGGAACGGAGAGGTTGGAGTTCGAGGCCTGACAGGTGAGGACGCGGTAGAGGAAGTCCCTGGTGAGTGAGGGGAGGGTGAGGGAGTTGCTGGTCACTTCCCCTCGCTTCACTTCAATAAGGTCATCCAGCAGGGACTCCTCGTGGTACCATGACACTGTAGGGCGGGGCCGGCCTGGGGGACGAGACGAGGGAGATGAGAGAGATCAGAGGGGAGAGAGAGAGAGAGAGAGAGAGAGAGAGAGAGAGAGAGAGAGAGAGAGAGAGAGAGAGAGAGAGAGAGAGAGAGAGAGAGAGAGAGAGAGAGAGAGAGAGAACGAAGATGAGAGTAGAGAGAGAGAGAGAGAGAGAACGAAGATGAGAGTAGAGAGAGAGAAATTATAATAATCAGCGATCAGGAGAGATATGAGAACAGATACAAGAAGATAAAAGATAGTTAGAAGACAGGAGGTAAGATGACAGAGATAATACAAGCGAAGATAAAAAATACGAGATAAGAGAACAGGAAAGAAGAGATAAAAGGAGAGACAGAGATATACAAGATAATAAGGACAATAAACCAGAAATAAGAGAAACAACGTTAAAAATTATAGTTATAACCATACATTAAACGAAGCATCAAAATTAATATTTGTGTAAAATTTTGTGATATTTAAAATACACAACAAGACGTAAATAACAATAATAAAAATAATAATAATAATAATAATAATAATAATAATAATGCAAAAATAAATACAAAATATAAAAATATTAAAATCAATTATACAAGATAAGGAGGAGGAGAAAACCCCTGTATTTCCCTCTTTTTCACCTTTAAGACTAAGTTACCTGTCTAACTCAATTAACCTGCCAGTCTAAAGACCATGATAAGGCTAAGCCCGCAAGTGCTTAACGGAATCAGTAAAAGTAACTTGCGGTCACACCAGTTAGTAATACCAGTTTTTATTGACATTAAAGATACTTTACTGACACGGCTAAGCTACTCCTCCCCTGGCACTGCACCCCCCCCTGATACTCTCCTGACACCGCCAAGTTTACCCTGGCACTGCACCCCCCCCCCTGATACTCTCCTGACACCGCCAAGTTTACCCTGACACCGCCAATATGAGGTAGAGGCATGTAAAGTGTACCTAGCATCTCGGTTTACATAAAATGAGAGTTTATACTTAGTTCACGAGTGGAATATATTTGTTAGTTTACCGGTAAGCTGCTATAGCGGCCTTGCCAACACTTCAGAGGTTGATAGGTCTTAAACCTCCAGAGGTTGATAGGTCTTAAACCTCCAGAGGTTGATAGGCTTTAAACCTCCAGAGGTTGATAGGTCTTAAACCTCCAGAGGTTGATAGGCTTTAAACCTCCAGAGGTTGATTGGCTTTAAACCTCCAGAGGTTGATAGGCCTTAAACCTCCAGAGGTTGATAGGCTTTAAACCTCCAGAGGTTGATAGGTCTTAAACCTCCAGAGGTTGATAGGCTTTAAACCTCCAGAGGTTGATTGGCTTTAAACCTCCAGAGGTTGATAGGCCTTAAACCTCCAGAGGTTGATAGGCTTTAAACCTCCAGAGGTTGATAGGCTTTAAACCTCCAGAGGTTGATTGGCTTTAAACCTCCAGAGGTTGATAGGCTTTAAACCTCCAGAGGTTGATTGGCTTTAAACCTCCAGAGGTTGATAGATCTTAAACCTCCAGAGGTTGATAGGCTTTAAACCTCCAGAGGTTGATAGGCTTTAAACCTCCAGAGGTTGATAGGTCTTAAACCTCCAGAGGTTGATAGGCTTTAAACCTCCAGAGGTTGATAGGCTTTAAACCTCCAGAGGTTGATAGGCTTTAAACCTCCAGAGGTTGATAGGTCTTAAACCTCCAGAGGTTGATAGGCTTTAAACCTCCAGAGGTTGATAGGCTTTAAACCTCCAGAGGTTGATAGGCTTTAAACCTCCAGAGGTTGATAGGCTTTAAACCTCCAGAGGTTGATAGGTCTTAAACCTCCAGAGGTTGATAGGCTTTAAACCTCCAGAGGTTGATAGGTCTTAAACCTCCAGAGGTTGATAGGCCTTAAACCTCCAGAGGTTGATAGGTCTTAAACCTCCAACCGTGGACATCTTCAAGAGAAAACTGGACGGTTTTCTAAGAGAAGTTCCGGATCAGCCGGGCTATGGTGGGTACGTGGCCCTGCGGGCCGCTCCAAGCAACAGCCTGGTGGACCAAACTCTCACAAGTCGAGCCTGGCCTCGGGCCGGGCTTGGGGAGTAGAAGAACTCCCAGAACCCCATCAACCAGGTATCAACCAGATAGACCTTAAACCTCCAGAGGTTGATAGGCTTTAAACCTCCAGAGGTTGATAGGCCTTAAACCTCCAGAGGTTGATAGGCCTTAAACCTCCAGAAGTTGATAGGCCTTAAACCTCCAGAGGTTGATAGGCCTTAAACCTCCAGAGGTTGATAGGCCTTAAACCTCCAGAGGTTGATAGACCTTAAACCTCCAGAGGTTGATAGACCTTAAACCTCCAGAGGTTGATAGACCTTAAACCTCCAGAAGTTGATAGGCCTTAAACCTCCAGAGGTTGATAGACCTTAAACCTCCAGAGGTTGATAGACCTTAAACCTCCAGAGGTTGATAGACCTTAAACCTCCAGAGGTTGATAGACCTTAAAACCTCCAGAGGTTGATAGACCTTAAAACCTCCAGAGGTTGATAGACCTTAAAACCTCCAGAGGTTGATAGGTCTTAAACCTCCAGAGGTTGATAGACCTTAAAACCTCCAGAGGTTGATATGTAACAAGAGATCAGTACATAGTACATGAACATCATAACAGCATGAACAAGCCACGTGGAGGATGAACAACCCACGGGCGCCAGACAGGCGGCGGCAGACAATGTAAAAGTTACACCTCTGTACAAGTTAGCCATAGAGTCAGGTCAACGGTCATCGAATCACAAAGAGGTCAGAGTTGATGCCGTCATGATAATCTTCAGGGATTAACCCCTAAACATCAAAGGTAGAACCCTCATGTTCAGCTGAGGAGCAACAGATCAGGGGAGAGTCAGTTGAGTGGGCGCAGCCCAATAGGAAGGTGTGTGTGGACTCGGGGAAGGAACATCATCTCCCGGAAACTGTGGAACAACATACGAGTAAGTACGGCGTTCTTGTACTAAAGCACCTCATTCAGTACTCTTGGCCTCTAGTAGGGAATATAGTTAGGGAGTGTCTTATTTAATTAATTCAATAAAGTCATATATTAAGTGTTATAAAATGTGTATTAATGGTTCCTTGTCTTAGTGATATTGGGCCTACCGTCCCCTTTGCCCCAGTGACCTAGTGTTCTTAATTATCCCGTACTCCTCCCCACCCCCCCGTTCGTCTCCCGTGTTGAGGTGTTAGTACTGGGTGTGTCCCGCCTTATTCTTGTGTACTCTATAGTTCCCAAGTGGTCAGGATTATTCGAGTGTCAGGACAGGATCCTTGTACCGTTCAATTGTCCCCTACACCTGTCCTGGTAGGTTATTCCATCTGCAAGACCTACGACTCTCACTCCGGTCCCCTGTCCGGTAACTCAGGGTGGTGGCAGCGTCACTCGGTAACTCATACGATAGGCTGTGACTACGATTATCTCTATCTTTCTGTCTCACTCTCCCTCACTAGTGTCTCACTCTCCCTCGCCCTCACTCGCTCTCGTTCTCCCTCCCTTGCTCTCGTTCTCGCTCTGCCTCCCTCTTCCTCTCTCTCTCTCTCCTTCCTCTGTGTACTGGTTTACGTCTTCGTATGACGGCCCGAGTGTTAACATCTTACATGATCGGTATAGCATCTGTTATTACCATAGAAAGGGCGGAGATTGCACGGTTAGCTCAGTGGTAGTAGCGGGTGCGCGGTCGAGATAGATACAAGGCGAGATATTACAAAGTGGGTCATTACAGATAGACCTTAAACCTCCAGAGGTTGATAGGCCTTAAACCTCCAGAGGTTGATAGACCTTAAACCTCCAGAGGTTGATAAACCTTAAACCTCCAGAGGTTGATAGACCTTACACCTCCAGAGATTGATAGACCTTAAACCCCCAGAGGTTGATAGGTCTTAAACCTCCAGAGGTTGATAGACCTTAAACCTCCAGAAGTTGATAGGCCTTAAACCTCCAGAGGTTGATAGACCTTAAACCTCCAGAGGTTGATAGACCTTAAACCTCCAGAGGTTGATAGGCCTTAAACCTCCAGAGGTTGATAGGCCTTAAACCTCTAGAGGTTGATAGGCCTTAAACCTCCAGAGGTTGATAGACCTTAAACCTCCAGAGGTTGATAGACCTTAAACCTCCAGAGGTTGATAGGCCTTAAACCTCCAGAGGTTGATAGGCCTTAAGCCTCCAGAGGTTGATAGACCTTAAACCTCCAGAAGTTGATAGGCCTTAAACCTCCAGAGGTTGATAGACCTTAAACCTCTAGAGGTTGATAGGCCTTAAACCTCCAGAAGTTGATAGGCCTTAAACCTCTAGAGGTTGATAGACCTTAAACCTCCAGAGGTTGATAGACCTTAAACCTCCAGAGGTTGATAGACCTTAAACCTCCAGAGGTTGATAGGCCTTAAACCTCCAGAGGTTGATAGACCTTAAACCTCCAGAGGTTGATAGACCTTAAACCTCCAGAGGTTGATAGACCTTAAACCTCCAGAGGTTGATAGACCTTAAACCTCCAGAGGTTGATAGGCCTTAAACCTCCAGAGGTTGATAGACCTTAAACCTCCAGAGGTTGATAGACCTTAACCCAACACGAAATTATCCCAAACAGAACCCATAAATGAGATCAATAGGCCTAATTGAGGATACCTCTGAGGCCACGAGACCTACTCAAGCATAACACCCCCGTAACTAAAAATCTACCTCGATGTTCAAAGGGTTCGAATCTCAAACAAACCCCACCCCACCCAATCACTCAGCTTCATAGAAAACGTAAGACATTTGCCAGCCGTTACTCTTCATAGGATGGATGTGTGACGTTAGCTACCGCAACGTGAAAAACGCGACCTATTAAGAGGACGGTATTAAGGGTAGAGAGAGACACTAGAGTATGAAGGGGGATCGAACCTGCGTCACGGGGGCACGGAGCAGCATGCAGGTGGCCAGTGGTGACGTAGGCAGGACGGACGGACGCTCAAAAGTGCCTCTCTCGTTACCAATGTTAACGAACGAGT